ACCTACCTTAATCAGTGACCTTTGAACCAAAATGGGGACTGTTAGGTTTATCACCGAGATGCTTGCCTGAACCTGGGATGGTGTCAGTTTTTGTTCTAGCTCACACGCCCGAATGGATTTGATACTAATTTTCAATTTAATTTTTTGCAGGAATAACGGAGCCAGTCACTGCACAATAACGTAGACGCAAGCTTCATTGGTCAAAGGTCACTTGATATGGTAAGAAGCAATACCTTAAATTTTGTAACCTGTTACCTTCGACGAGTCTGAATAATTAAATCATCCCTGTATTCAACTTTGAAATTACTTGTTGGCTGTTCAATTGTCGAAAGACAACTTAATGTCAATGTGCATTTTGGAATGGTACTATACAAGCGCGCATTTGATAAAATAGTGAAGTATTTGAAAGACTTCTGATTTGAATTTGCATTAAGAGCTTGGCAGCAGTTATTTTGATTTCAATATACTTTGGATCCTTTTTCTGGGCATGTTCGTCAACAAATAGACTCGCTATATCAGTAACAGGTTACAAATATTCCTGGTTGACCACATAGTTGAGAAATTGCCAGTTGATGTTAAGGCAAGCTATCTGTGCTGCTATTTTTATTTTCTTTCTGAGTTTTGGGTGCACGACATGGTTTTTACTTTGGAGTCAATGTACTTTCTAAGCTGTTTTGAAAACATAAGCGATAACAAGGCTATGAATTATGGATTTGTCAAAAGTTCACTCTCTCCAATTGCTTTTCAAATATTCTGTTGACAATTTGGGGCAATGAGATTCAAAGCACAAATATTTCTGAAAGGTTGTGGAACATCAGCTGGCAAAGTCTCATCTTGGAAGTAAATGTTCGAGTACAGATGAGGTCGAAAAATTCTCCAATTTCAGTTGAAGTTGAAAGAATTGTGTAAGGACTTGTGCGCACAGTGTTTACATACCGAGTTAGAATTAATGATACTGAAAGTTTCTAACACAGTAAATGCCACAAGGACTGTGTATGCACTAGCAATTGCTGCGAGTTATTTATGGCTTAGAGGAAGGCAGTGGAAGCTAGTAAAGGTTGTCTCAGAAATTGGAGCAAGTTTTTACCTCAGTATAAGAATCTTCAAACACACCAGGAGTGCACCAAACACTCCAAAACCAAACTTTTTTTTTTCTTTTTACAAATGTTACCAGCAAGTCTTGGTATAAATCAATCTTGAAAGTTAGAGTTCATGCTGAAGTTCACTCATGAATCTTGTTGGTGATTTGATAAAGTGGAATTCACTGTAGGAGTCTGTTGTTCCTTCTTAAGGATTTGCAAGGGCAACTTTAAAAAATTGTTTAAAACTATCGAGCCAAGGTGTTTTAAAGTCAATTGTTCTAGATTCATTGAAAAGTCAACTGTTGCATTGCTAGAGAAACTTTGAGTTGATGGGCAAAGTAAAATCTTTGCTCAAATGCACATCTGCCAAGGCGATCAAAATGGTGGAGTTCATTTGATAACAAATTCTCTTCAGATTTGAAAGTGCTTCAATTTGCTTCATTTCTCTTGTCCAGGCAGGAATTTCAGCTTGGCTGTCTGTCGTCTTCAGTGTCTCCTCATTACGAGATTGAGTTCAAGATGTCTTCAGGAACATCCTACATTAATTGGTCCGTCTTATTGAAGGCAGGAGTAGCTTGAAGATCACACAGATGTTGGAGTACGGAAAGGACCCGATGTGAAGATGGACTCATTGCAGATGAAGGGGAAAAAATAGAGAAATATTTGAGCTTTAAAACTGAATTCCATGCATAAATTGAATTTACATCTTACAGTGTTCTTTGATCACTATTTACACGAGACTGTGTTATGAATCTTCCTTTAATTTTGCTGCAATAGGTTATCAATATTTTTCTAGCTAAATTAGCTTTTTAAAGTGTCTTACTTGGCAAAAGTCATTGCACTGTTTGATTTTGAGAAATCAAAGCCAAAATGTGCACTAGTTTGATCTCAAGTGTACGGTTGTCTCCAGTTAAAAATTGGTTCACATTGTCATTTCTGAAAATATAAAGGACAAGTTGATTCTGTAATTTTAGCTGTCACATTTTTCTAAAAGAACATATTTTCCACATGAACAAATATTTGACTCCACCACTGAGGAAAACTGAAAAAGTGTAAATTTCCTCTATTTTAAATCATTTGAGAGTGCCTCCACGTTTTGCCATCACTTATCACTCGAATAAAGG